AGGAAGCCAAGAGGACAAAAACTTGTCCAAAATCTACGAAAAACCCTGAAGAGAAGAAACGACGGAAAGACCGCCAAGAGACCTCATACTGTCAGCTAGAAGACCACAGGTGGGATACACCAGCAAAGAAGCCACCTGATCACCAAACAAATGACAATACACCCACCTGATCACCATAGAAATGGCGATACACCTGCATCAGAAAGACGAGACGAGTGCAGAGCAGCAAAGCAAACCAGCATGGTACCTTGCTGGCCCGATCTGCTGGTAGAGGCGGAGCCAAGGAAAAACGCCCGGGTTCAGACACCGAGCAAACGGCACTGGAAACCAAAGCTGGGCCAGCCACCTTGGAGCCTGGAGAAAAATCCCCCTTCCCAATAGCATTCCAAGCAAGCCAGGACCAACAGCTGGAACAAGGGAAAGAGGTACAGGAACCCCGCCCCCCCCCACCTACCAGTCCTGCCGAAAAGCCTCTCCTATGAAGGCCTCACAGTCAAGGAACGGCACCATGTGGTGTGGGAGTCGTCCAGACCATGCTGACGTCAAGATGTTCACCTCCGGGTGGCCACACGTCCGGCAAACCACCTGAAGGACTACATTGATCGTCCTCTCCATGGAAAGAAAAATGAAGTGCAACAGGACGTTTGCCAGAATGTTGGACATTAATCAAATGAACATCGCGGAGAGCTAAACCCCAAGAACTTGGCAGAAGAGCTACCCGAAGCAACCAGCCCCAAAGAACCACGAACCGAATAGACCCCCCCCCCCTCCACCCACATTTCAGATAAACCATAGTGGGAGCAGTGCGAATCAAGCTGGATCAAGGCGCTCCGAGGAAGTCGAATCCGGTGCAGCGCAAGCTACACTGCCACAAACTCCTGCACCGTGCTGTGAACCCGACAGAAGTCTGGCCCTCAGTGCCCCTGGCCAGACTGGAGCACTGGTCACAAAGCTCCAACTGTGAGACGTAGTGCCTGTGAACACATCAAGCATGGGATGGGGAAGGTGCCATGATACCGAACCCCGAAAACCCGAAGAGCATGCCAGTAACACAGCAACCAACGTAAGGACACCTGGGTGCAAACCAAACTGTCGTGAGCATGGCGGCTTTGAAGATACCAGGACAGCCTCCGAAGCCAATACTGTTCCCTGGAGAAACCCAAAGGGCAAAATGCAAGCTATTGCACAGCTGTTCTAGCAACCGTTGAGCAACTTGGGTCCCCCTCAAAAACAGCCAAAAGCGAGACTGCAGCCAGATCAGTGTTGCAGGAGGGGAAGGAAGAGAAAGAATCCCCCTTCGAAGCCCAGCCAAGTACAAACCAGGGACAGAACCAACAGATTTCTTCCAAGTTTCCAGGAACCCAAACCCAGCAAGCTGGGAAAGAACCAGATCCCTGGCTAACAAGTATACTAGCTGGAAGCCCACACCATCCTCGAGGCTGCCTGCCAGCCAGGAAGACACCGGAACCTCGAAACGCATCCGATCAGTGCAAGAGGAAACCGAACTCGAAAACGGGATCCCACACAGAGGCATAAACCGGGTCTCGCAGGAGGTATTCGCCAAGAGCCACCCAAACACGGGAATCCGAGAGGAAGAAACCCTCTGGGAAAAACTAATAAGAGGAACCCTAGGGCACCCGGAAATGAACCTGGTGAACCCTACCTTCCACCTTTGCCTATACATATTTGTCTCTGATAAAAGGAGCCCCACGGTTAAAACAGCCATAATGGGCAGGATACCGAGGGTTTGGAAGCCGGATGAGCATATAGGGCACCAGGCGCAAAACTAGTGCCCAAAAGAAATAAAGAAAACATTCCAATGACCAGTCTGAATAAGACCATAGTAATAATATGCAGAAGTACCACAGCCGAGTACAGAAGACAAGACCGGGAGACATGACCACCACCTACAAGTCCCCAAGGAAAGACTAGGTAGGACACTTGAAATATAAGTAAGCAAAATGTCATTCTGCAACTTTAGCTTATCGACATTAATAAGCTAAAGTTAAACCCACTTGAACCCACTTAAATTATGCACTTTAGTGGCAATAAAGTCATGCAACATGAACCAAGAGGGATAAAGTAAATCCCAAGAACTAAAACTTCCTAATAGAGATAATCAAGTCTTGCTTGCCATTGCACACAAGAAAAGATGGATGACTCGATATGAGAAGGATGCCAATAATGGGACACGAGAGGTAACCAAGTATGCAAAGGGGACCACAAAGAAAAAAAAGAACCAACTCAGAAGCAGAGGAAAAAGGAAATGGAATACAGGAGGCAGTAATGAGGTGAAGGCTGCAAAAAGACCCGCAGAAGCTCCAAAACTTTGGAACGTGCACCCCAGGAGAATAACTGAGGAGAGGCCCCGCACAACACCCGCAATCAACTAAAAGAGTACAGCAGAACATTGAAACTTGGCAAAATAACCAACGACACCTCAGCAGTGATGCACAAAACACACCAATTGACATACTGCCCCACCACTTACAAAGTAGAAATAACCCACACCAGTAAAAACGAGCACGACCTAAATTAAAACTCCCCAAAAAGTGGGTTCCAATGGCCAGCTGTCAGATACGCCGGCAGCTGGGTGTTGGACCACACGCCGCCCCAGTAACCAGATGCAGCAATGCACGCACAGCAAAATGGCTGCCAAAACAAACTATGAAACCATCGCAAAACGTCCAAGCAAAAGACAGATGCACCCAAGTGAGGGTGCATAATTCTCACTGGAAAATACGGTAAAACTAATGTAGAAGGGAAGGAGGGGACAAAAACCTTTCCTGCAGCAACAACTCCAGCCCAGAAGGCACAAAGGTCCAAGCAGGGGCAAAAGGAGCCCAAGCGGACTTCCCTTGAGCCCTGGGAACCCCTGACACAGGCCCCGGGCCAGCACTTTCATCCCTGCCCACCACTTCTGAAGAAAAAGCAGAGTCCAAGGGAAAGGCTTCCGAGAAGTAAGGCAGCTGGGATGAACTGGAGCCTTTGGTGAGAAGAACGGGCTCAACCACCTCTACGCCCGTATTGGAAGGGGCAGCCCCCAAAGCCACCCGAGCTTCATCCCAATCTAAACCCCCACCTTGACTCCAAAACTCTCAGATGGTTTGGAGCTAGAAGCAGAGGTAGGGGGAGGAGCAGGGCAAACCTCAACCACTGGAGAAGGAAGCAGGGCATGGACGGAAACAAGGGCGAAGCGACCAACACCCCCAAAATCCTGGGCTCAAAAACAACAGGGCAGCTCCGGGGCCTCCAACCAACCTGGCATGTTACAAGAAGAGCTTGCAATGCCACCTGAAAACCTCTCATCAGCAGACCATTAATGGGAACTAAAGCACAAGCACAGAAGTCCTGCAAGACTCCAGGTCGTAGGTGGCACCGACCCAACAGGTAGCAAAGCAGAGGCAGGTGGTGATCATCTCCAAGGAAGGGGCGACGAACAACCTACAACTTTGCACAAGGAGACTAAAGAAACATCCATGGTACACCTTCCAGCCCACTGGGGTTTTCCAGGGCCCGTAGGGTGAGCAAGCCCTACGGGAAGCCCAAGCATGGGGCAGAGCTTAGCCGGTAGAACCCTGTCGGTCAGCAGGCAAACTGACCACCAGCAGCAGCCATGAAACCTCAGGGGCAACAGAGGAAGACCACCAACACAACCTAGGAATGCCTAATAAGCCAGGCAGACCACCACCATTATCAAAAATGTGAAAAGGCTAGAAAAGAAAAAATCCCTGAAGGCTCAACAAACTGGCAGCTGGAGAGAATCGTCGGCCGCTGCGTGTGCAAGCTGCACCGGTCCATTCAATAACACTCCCCAACCAGGGCAAGACGGAAAGCCTTAGACCCGACATACTCCAAGGGCGAAGACAACGCCAAGCATCAAAGTTCTCAAACGGGAGGGAGTCCCGAATGCCCCAGGGGACGATAACCCTGAAATGCAAGGATAATACTTACAAAGCACCTAGGGAAAGATCACCCTAGGTGTATGCTGCTCTGCTTACAATTAGACCTGGCCACCACACCACACATCTGGAACAACCATACAGCAAAATCCAGCACAGGAACTTGAGGCAAGATGTGACCAAGTTAACCCAAGCACATCAGTTTAAGAACTGGAGTGGTTGGCTGCCGGTTCCCCACTTTGGGGGGCAGGGGGTTGGAGCACTAATGAGTGGGAATGCTAGCTGGATGAAGTGTTGCTCGTTTGTTTTCTGTCTGGGCGAGTTACTTTGCTAATGTTTGGACGTAGGTTGCAATTTTCACCAGATTGTGGTCCGTTTTGTTTCGCCTATTTTGCTAGATGTCCTTTGCCGGCCGATGGCAATTATGACACTAGATGTAGAGTGCTCATAGGCCATTGCTCCCTGCACCTCTGAGGGGACCAGGTTCTGGCTTGTAGTTTCCGGTAGGCATAAGGACTCCAGTGACTGATGACGGGGCTCCCCACAAAAAAAAAAAAAAAAACCTAATATGGAAGCGATGAGTCACAATAACGTTGCTAAAGTATGTTTACCAGACCACACACTAGAAGGTGAAGGGACGACGACGTTTCGGTCCGTTCTGGACCATTCTCAAGTCGATTGTGAAAACAATCGACTTGAGAATGGTCCAGGATTGACCGAAACGTCGTCGTCCCTTCACCTTCTAGTGTGTGGTCTGGTCAACACCTAATATGGGCCTACTTTGAACAAATCCACAAGGGCTGTGACAAGGATTCGAACCTGCGTCCGGGAGCATCCCAGACACTGCTTTATCAACTGAGCTACGACAGGGTAAAATTTCAACTCTTTCATCCTGTCGTAGCTCAGTTGATTAAGGCAGTGTCTGGGATGCTCCCGGACGCAGGTTCGAATCCTCGTCATGGATTCGTCACTTGTGGATTTGTTCATTGGATACATCATGTTAAGTGTGATTTCTGTGTGTAATGGGCCTACTTTGTTATTTCTATTTACAGTCAACTAGTTGAACATTCTCATACACAAAAGGTATGCTTAACCTACCGCTTGCTGAGTTTCGTCCCAGGCCTCTGTGAAGGGTGAGTCCTCGTCTGTTCTGTACTCCTTGATGGCAACGACCATAGCATTTCTCACAGTAGTCTTGGCCTTGTCCTTGAAGACGTAGCCCAAGATGCCGCCAATCAGCAAGATTATGAACAGCAGCAGAACAATGATGAAGTACTGTGGTAACAAGTCAAAGTTCAGACACGGTATTTGATTCTTAAAAATACAAAATTATGAAAGCCTATGCATGGATAACGCCATTATAAAGTCACAGGAGTAATGTAATCTGGTAATTACAGTCAGTATTTCCATTCTCTTACAAATTGCATGGTGTGTGGATCAGTGTTAATGTCGTCCATTATCGTATTTCAGCATGTAGTTCAATAAAAAAGTCACTTCATATTTGTATGGAAACACTGCTCTTCAATTAAACTACCGATTAAATTAATATTGAATTGCTTTATATTGGTGAAAATTTTAAGACACTTCAACACTATCAGTTTTCATGTTAAGCAATTATAATTATTACTACCAATACTGTGAACGACAAATTTAAAACATTAGCTGCTAAACTGAATAAACTAACTTTAGTAAGTCTTGGAGCACTGTTCAATGAATATTATTATTAAAGAAAATCACTTTATAAATATCAATGTAATATTTCAGAAGAGAAAATTACTCAATAGAAAGAAAACGGGATTTTCAAGCATTTGTCAATGATGTAGGTCGAGCGCCCCGCAATTTATTGAACAAATTCTGAAAATTGTACTTTTTATTAAAACAAAATGGTCGTACGACAAGGAAAGGCGATGTAACTACCATGACTATTACACACAGTTGTTCAAGTGCATATTTGAAAAAAAAATGCTGGTTTATAACATTTGCAGTTGACAATGCACAATTCATCTGAGGGGCAGCAACATTTAGATTTTCAAGTGGCAACAAATGCTTTAGTCAGTCATTCCAAGTTGTAAAGAGAAGATTTAGCCAAGTATGTACTCACTGTGAGGAGCATGCACTTGACCTCCCTGAGAGCACCGAAGCAGCCCAAGAAGGAGACGAAGAAAATGACGCAGCCAGTACCGATGAGAATGTAGGCGGCCGTCATGTACATCTCACTACCCAGTAGCTTCTCCAAGTAGGGTCGGTCTGCCACTGTCCATATGCCCAGCACCAATATCGCTATGCTACCAGACTGAAACAAACACCATACTATAATTCCTGCCTAAACCAACAGAACTGCCTATACGGGTATTAACTCATGAAAAATCTTTGGAAATCTTCACAAGGCATTGACGAGGCAGTTTGTTAACGTAACTAATTTGTATCAAACTAATATCTTTTCGAGTTGTATCTACTATCCATTAGATTATGCCAATGGTTACCAAGATAATGGCTACTCACCCAGATAATGAAATTGATGGCAAACATGAGGAAACGCACAAACTTTCCACAGCCCGTCATCTCGACGCCACTACCCATGCCGCCCACACCTGTCTACCTTACAACCTGTAACACAATTACAACGTGACATTAGTAATCATTTAAAACAACACCCTGTCTCAGTCAAATCTTAACATGGGCTATAAAACCCGACATTACAACCACTAGCAGCAAGGTCACCAGACAACACAACCATCGCTCCACTCTCCTGCTCACTACATTCCTAAACACGTTTCTACAATTACGTCATGACAAAGTATTCCATAATTCTGAATGACAATTCCGTAATTTGTTCCGCAATTTAGCGAATGAACTACACAAATTTGCAAGCTAAAGTAGTTTTCTAGATCCGTTAATCTTTGTCTAGATCTAGACTTTGATCTAGATCTAATCTTTGTATAGATCTAGACTTTGATCTAGATCTAATCTAAAGATCTAATCTTTGTCTAGATCTAGTCAACCTTAAGAAGCAGCACATTTTTATCCCAGTTCTGAGGGGTGAGACCACCAATTAAACCGGCACAGTTTCAAGGTTACTTGGGGCGTTGTTAAGAATCTAATCCCATTAAGCAGTAAAAAATAGTTCGAGGCTATTGGAGCCATTTTAAAAGTATCGTAAAGATGATTAATGTTAGTGGTGAGGGAGGAATGTTGAGGTGTGGAGTGGTTAGTGATCGAGGTGGCTCAACACCCACACCTCGGGGCGGGGGGGGGGGGGCTTGCGACACAGCCTAGCCGCCTTCACGCTGTGTTAACCTCTAATAAAACCATTAAGGTGCAATAACCTAGTCTCTTGTATAAATGCTACATTATTTTTCTTATACAATTAGACCTTGCTCAGGCATAAGTATATATATATATATTTCTTCTGTCTGGATTAAGTTCAGAGGTGAGATTCGAACACTGGAGAGATTAAACATGGTTCAATAACAGTTTGATTATAATTTGTGTATAAAAAATCCATTTATAAATATGGGATTTGGCGGCTGGATTAATGAACATTTGACCTTTGTAAGTGCGGGACGCTATATATTGTACATTTAACTCCACTGTTGAGAGCCGGGAGTCTAGCCTATTGTATAGTACAGTTGGGTTAATTGGTCTACCACGAACCAGGGCGGGACACACATGAATGGACACGTTTCATTTCGCCTAATGCCTCTGTTCACCTAGCAGTGAATAGGCATCCAGAAATGAATAAATTTGTGGGGTTGCATCCTGGGGAGGGTCAATAGTTTGACCTGGAGGGGGGGGGAGGAGACCCCTTCATACATGTCTAACACATACACAGGCTGCCTGTCCCCCGACGAAAACTAACACTCCATTCATCAACGTAACCAAAGTTCCTAAGCCTAATTATAAACCTTCAATATATATATATACAACTTAATAATTCATCACGTAAATAAACTATTCATAATCACATTGGGAAAGGGAGATAGGGCCGACTTGCTGGGTTAACATTCATGGTTGCCCCAATGTTTAGAGAACTCTAGCTAACATGTTGACCAGACCACACACTACAAGGTGAAGGGACGACGACGTTTCGGTCCGTCCTGGACCATTCTCAAGTCGGACCGAAACTTCGTCGTCACTTCACTTTCTAGTGTGTGGTCTGGTCAACATACATCAGCCACATTATTGTGACTCATCGCCTGCATCTAGCTAACATTATTGAACCTGTCACAGGTGCTCCAACATCAGCTTTTGGAAGTCACAAATGAAATTAGATTCTAGTCCATTACTCGACGGACAACAATCGGGGCCTCGTAGCCTGGTGGATAGCGCGCAGGACTCTTAATTCTGTGGCGCGGGTTCGATTCCCGCACGAGGCAGAAACAAATGGGCAAAGTTTCTTTCACCCTGAATGTCCCTGTTACCTAGCAGTAAATAGGTACCTGGGAGTTAGTCAGCTGTCATGGGCTGCTTCCTGGGGGTGGAGGTCTGGTCGAGGACCGGGCCGCGGGGACACTAAAAAGCCCCGAAATCATCTCAAGATAACCTCAAGATAACTAGTTGGCTATTGCCACTACCAGCGAATCCGTTCTTCAAGCAAAAGAGGCCCCGGACCCAGGGGGCCAAAGGCTCAATGTTGTCGAGGTTGGCCTCAGGCCGGACTGAGAACTCTAGAAACCATCTCCAAGTATGCTCCAGGATGGCCTGCAGAAATGTGGGGCATCTCCAGCTCTCACACTCCTCCAGCTAGTGGGAATAACATGCACACCAAAGCTTAATTATCATTTTGAACAGGTTAGTAAACTTCTAGAATAGCTGGCGAAGCTTAATCCCTCTGACCTAACATTTAGTCGACCCAGCCTCGGGCGAGGCTGGTTAAAGCGGCGGCAGTCTCCCCCACTCCCCTTCACCCAGAAGCATTCATTAATTTGAAGACCGTTTCTTCTCAAGTTATTATATATTCCCAAGTATAGTTAGGCACACGTTGTATGTTTAGGTTCTGTTGGCAATTATTTGTATTTGCAGTATGTGGGTGAAGCATTCATGTGGTAGAGTCGAGCAGGTCAGACACACAGCAGTGTTCACACACTTACATACGTCATCAGTTGAGTCATGTAAGTGTTTTCATTCATAAACAAGAGGTTTGGCAGCTGGAACTCTCCCCCCCCTCACCCCCGAAAAAGGGACTTCCGGTGGATAGCTTACATGAATTTTGCTAAAGCCTTTGATAAGGTACCACATGAAAGTCTGTCCAGGAAACTACAGGTCCCTGGAATTAATGGTAGAACACTACAATACTAGCATTCTAGAATACTAGAATGGATAAAAATGGTTAAAACAAAGTCGTACTAAATGGGAATGAATATGATTGGAAAAATATGGTAAGTGGGGTACCACAGGGATCCATTTTGGGGCCAACACTTTCATACATCATACATATCGTCAATGTCATACATAGCTTTTCAATATTGACAATGCAAGACCCCCAGCATGTGGGGGCATAGCAACTCCGCGGTTGTTCAACGTCCTCCCAGCAAGCATAAGAAATATTGCCGGAACAACCGTGGACATTTTCAAGAGGAAACTAGATTTATTCCTCCAAGGAGTGCCGGACCAACCGGGCTGTGGTGGGTATGTGGGCCTGCGGGCCGCTCCAAGCAACAGCCTGGTGGACCAAACTCTCACAAGTCAAGCCTGGCCTCGGGCCGGGCTTGGGGAGTAGAAGAACTCCCAGAACCCCATCAACCAGGTATATGTGGGCCTGCGGGCCGCTCCAAGCAACAGCCTGGTGGACCAAACTCTCACAAGTCGAGCCTGGCCTCGGGCCGGGCTTGGGGAGTAGAAGAACTCCCAGAACCCCATCAACCAGGTATATGTGGGCCTACGGGCCGCTCCAAGCAACAGCCTGGTGGACCAAACTCTCAAGTCGAGCCTGGCCTCGGGCCGGGCTTGGGGAGTAGACGAACTCCCAGAACCCCATCAACCAGGTATTTAACCCATGCCACAACCACAAAATTAACAACATTACATTAGATGATTACATTACATTACATTACATTAGATCTTTTTCTTTTTACCTATTAGTTTTAAGCTGTAGTCATTAATGTTTTTCCTGCCCGAAACGCTTTACGTAATAGTGGCTTTAGGCATTGTATGTACTAGCTCTATCTATAAAGCCAACAAACTTTGTAAATCTCTATGTATGTACCTTACCTAAATAAAGATTATTATTATTATTATTATTAACATTAGATGAAGAAAATGACCTTTGAGTCAAAACCGACCATTCACTCAAAGTTGTACATCAGGTAGAGGCTACAGTTAAACTAACCAAACCATTTGGAATGAAGCGTACCATTGACTTCAAGGAAAAGGTAGTGATCCAATTGTATTAATCTCTGGTGCTCCCCCATTTACGTTACTGTATCCAAGTATGGTGATCACTTTTTTTTGAGATATATACAAGAGTTGTTACATTGTTGTAGAGCCACTAGTACGCGTAGCGTTTCGGGCAAGTCCTTAATCCTATGGTCCCTGGAATACGATCCCCTGCCGCGAAGAATCCTTGTTACAACCAAGTACACATTTTACTGTTGAGTTAAACAGAGGCTACAGTTAAGGATTTGTGCCCAGTAAATCCTCCCCGGCCAGGATACGAACCCGACATAGCGCTCGCGGAACGCCAGGCGAGTGTCTTACCACTACACCACGGAGACTAAAATCTTCAGAAGATGTGCAGCTGCTCTGGAGAAAGTGCAACACCGGGCAACAAAACTCCTTCAAGAGCCAAGTCAACTGACGTATCAGGAAGGGTTGATGAGGGCCCCAGGGCTAACACCGCCGCAGACCAGGCATGACAGGGCGGATCTCGCGGAAACTTTAAATACGGAACAATTTGGAAGGTGTTGATCCGGACAATTTCTTCAGAAGGTCAGATGTAACACAGACGAGGAGTAACGGTTTCAAGCTCTAGCCACCATGTTGGACTGAGAACAGGAGTCGCTTTGTTCACCCCAACAGGGTTATTATCCCACGGAACCGCCTACCCGCCGAAACTATTTATATATAGTACATCCAAGAAGTTACATTGGGTTTATCAGACTACGTAACATTGTGTTTACATGCTTGTAAAGCCACTAGTACGCGCAACGTTGCGGGCAGGTCCTTAATCTAACATAATAAGTCATTTATAGCAACATTTATAACATGTTAACAGGTACATTGTAAGAAAATTTGAGAGATTAGTAGGTATATTAAAGCACACTGAAAGCTTTTAATGAAAGCATTGATAGCTTGATTGATAATGATTTGATAATGTTATTCTGGAAAATATCACTGTAAATAAGGGAGGGAGGGGAACCTTCGACAAGCCACCAGCTTCCTGTCCTCGCCGAGGCCTGCACTTCCAACATGAGCAGGCAACAACGGCCGGGTGCTTAAACCCAAGTAATTTTATATAATTATTACAATTTTCTCCTGAAATTACAGTACCTTAAGCAGCTATTTAGCTGAACCTACAAGCCATTACTTTCAGCCAACTATTGTTCATATTGTACTTCTAATTCAAGGAGGGGGGAATTATCAGGATAAAGTGCCAAGCCATTAAAAAC